TTAAAGTAGTGCAAGCATGTAGTCGAATACGATCTGCAAAACTGCGTCTGGCATTAATTAGCTCATTGAAAAATATAATTGCATTCCTCGATAAAGTACAAATCCGGATCTGTAAACWTTTAGAACGATTGATAAGCCTTTAGGCTTCARCAGTATCGAACTTCACTCAACTTCAGGACTGCCTTGATTTTTAATCAGCTTTCAAGCTGGAGTCTGAAAAGTGCGGTTCTCAAAGCACGCAACCAAAAGGGAAAAAATTACAATTTTGAAAACTATTAAAATTTCGATGTGCAATTGTTACATCGCATTAATAATTCATGAAGCTACAACAGCAACGAATTTAGCTGAAATCCAGGTGTGGATTAATTTTTAATCATCGCTCAAAGTTGAGCCCTAAAAGTGCGATTCTAAAAGAAAGCAACCAGTTGGCAAAAAAATTATAATTTCGAAAAAAGTGCAAATGCGAATCTGTAAATCTTCAACAGTAACGAACTTCATTCAAATGCAGGTCTGCCTTCATTTTAGTCGGCTTTCAAACTGGAATCTGAAAAGTGCAGTTCTCAAAGTCGGCAACCAAACGGAAAAAAAATTGAATCTTGAAACTGGAAATTTTCATGTGCAATTCGGACAACGCATTAATTCGTCATAAGTCTACAATAGTACTGAATTGCATCCATATCCAGATAAGCGTTAATTTTTGTTAGACTTTCAAAGTTGAGCACTAAAAGTGCGATTTTCGAAATACGGAACCAATTGGACAAAAATCTATAATTTCAATAAAAACATAAATTTGCATCTGCAAACACTGCACACGATTTACAAATCTTCAAGCTTCATCAGAATCGAAGTTCATACAAATTCACGTCTGCGTTGATATTTAACCGGCTTCCAAAGTTGAGCTTGAAAAATGCGGACCTCGGACCAAGCAGCCAAAAGAATTATAGTTTTGATAGCAGTAAAAATTTCGAACTGCAATTTCTATCAGCCATTAATAAGTCATGAAGCTACAACAGTACTGATTTTCAAACAGATTCAGGCCAGTGATAATTTTTGCTGGACTTTCAAACTTGAGCCCTAAAAGTGCGAGTTTCGAAATAAAAAACTAGTTGATTAAAAGTTTCTAAGTTCGATAAAAACATGAATTTGTATCGGCAAATACTGCGAACAGTTTACAAGTCTTCAAGCTTCAACATCACCGAATTTCATGCAAATTCAGGCATGGTTTGATTTTTGATCGACTTTCAAACTTGAGCCTCAAAAGTGCGGATCTTATATATTCCGATTGATATTTCCTGAATATAATGAGACTGACATTTCCAAAACCGTTAGAGATTGGAATAGAACATAGTAGATAACTACAGAATATTTAGCAAAGCTTTTAATAAATAATTATGCATTTATTATAAAATTGATAAATAAATTTACAGTAACATACAGATCGTTTAATATAATAAAGCGCACTGGAGAACCTCATTGCATGCTTCTTTGCGATGCAAATGGTATCCGATGCACGATTTAAATGTTTTCGGTAAAAAATGATCTTAATGTGTGTTTGTTTAGTTTCAAAGTTTCCAACCCAAAAGCTCAAAAGAAGGCCCAGAACCGTTCAAGAAGCTACTCAAATTGAGCAATATTTTCTGTTACTTGAGACTTGAGATCGGAATAAAACTACAATAAAAACCGCCAACAAAAATACGATATTATCATATTGATACAATCTTAATAAACTTCTAGTCTCAACTGGTTCCAGCAAATAAGAAACCTCGAATTGAACCATTGATCGACCACCGTTAAACTTAATACGCAAATTGATCTTTCCATTTCTTATTCGGCAAAAAAACTGCCTTAACTGACCGTACAAAGTACCATAACCTACTTTACTTCTGTCTGCAACAACAGTGCCAATGCAGACAAATATTAAGCCGCTTAATTTCACTTTCTTATAAGGTCAGTTCGAATTATGTAACCGAGCGTTCGTAATATCTATTTAATAATTCGACTTGAAACTGTCCCAGTCAATAAATTTTGCTATAGCAGGGAAATTATTTGTGTTTTTACTCCAAACAGAGAAAGTGATAGTAGAATAGTCGGTTAATCGTCTGATCTTAATTATACCGCAATTAATAGTTCCGCATAAGACTTCCGAAACTATTTTAGTCCTGAATGTGTACAGGAGAATTGTTACTAGAGTCCAGTTGTTTGGAACTTCTTCACACGTAGGCATTAAATAAATAAAAAACACAATCGCCCTGTATATTAATGACTCATTAAACGATTTACTATTTTTTCTATCGAAGGCCCCCTATTGGGAATTCAATTGTGCAATACTTGTGTTGGGTGCATGTAAATTAATACAAGAAAAACCCGAAACAATTCAAGTAAACATTCGGATAAGCTTCATTGGAGCTGTTGTTTCTGCGGATATTCGCTGAAGCATTTGCTTTAAACATTGCCTTGTTCATTAAGTGTAAAATAATATAGTGAGAACGTTATTCCGCATTAATATTAAAAAAAAAAGTCAAGGACATTAGAAAATCTCGTTGATCCATCTTCACCTTTAATCCAATGCAACGAATAAATAATATCACGCCTACTTTTACGCAATAATATACAAACTGAAGCCTACATTCTCATTTGATTGAGAGATTCTCATATAAGGTTTGATGAAATAGTGATTAAAACTGTCTGTATACAGTGCCGACAATTTGTTGCTAAAAGTTAACTCAACTCAACATATGGTCAGCGCTTTGCCATCGTTTTACGCAACTTGCAATTTAATAAGTTGCTGATAAATCTGGGTTTTTTCACTAACACAAAGTGCAATAATAATCGATTTTCCTTGAAATCAACGCAAAATTTAAATCATTCGATACTTAAATAGAATAAATAATAATAATCAATTCATATAATAAATTAATGTTACGTTACAGTTTAGCTAATATGCCTATTATAGTCGTCGTTTTAAAGACATTCAAGGTTCTGTCCTATTTTTTTATTATTATACATTGTACTATAATGACATAGTAATAGTTCATTTTGGTATTGTTGCGATGAAGCTTTTCGAATTGAAAATCCTCATTGATATTCTACTCAACGGCATCGATTTCATTAGGAATGATTTAATAGTAAGAACAACTAAATAAGGTAATTTACTTAGTTTGAAGGTGTTTTATATTACATTCCTTCATCAATTGATAAACAGTATTTTTTTGTAACTCAAGTTGTTCAGGGTGATTCAAAACTACTTTGACTAGCTTTAGATGGACTAGCTTAGGATTATTTTAAGGTGATTATGAAGTTTCCATAACTGAGGGACCTTAAGGGTATATTTTACATTGTACAACGCATACAATTTTTTAAATGTATCCGAAACCGCTTGAGATATTTAAATAAAAATTTTCAAATATCAAGAGCTCTTGAATGGCCATGTTTCTATTGAGTGAAATCTTTTTTAAGTCCGACAGTGGCGTGTAGACCGACATAACATTCAATCTTTTTAAGAAAAAATGGGTTGCCACTGATTTACTGAAAAAAATACTTGAACTTTTCCATTCCTTGTTCAATGCGAAACAAAAAAGATATGTTGCATTTTTTTTGTACAGCCCATAAATTTCGAGTAATAAAATAAAAATCTTTTTAATGCATATGTTAAAGTCCTCACAGTTATTTTCATTGAAACTTTGAAATTAATGTAAATTTTAATGAATTCAGTAAAATCCAACTATGACCACCTACTTACTAATTAATCGTCAATAATTTCAAAGTTTAAATTCACAAAACTGCCGGTCTGAAGATTCGTGTTTTAATATGATTTTGTTTTTCTTACTCAAAAATGATGCGTTGGTCGAAGAAAACTCAAGAGCATTTTTTTGTTTGAAATCAAATACGCAATGAACAGGTGAAATAAATTTTTTGATAAATCAGTGGCGCACCATTTTTTTCTGCAAAAATATTAAATGCCATGTCAGTACAAGCACCACTGGAGGTTGAAAAAAGTGTTTCATTCTATTGAAACATGGCCACTCGATAGCTATTAATATCTGCAAAAGTTCATTAAAATATCTCAAGTGGTTTCGGATGTTTTGATAACTTGTTGTGTTTTTTAATAAAATGTTGACACCCTGTATTTTCGTAACGACGCCCTTGAGAACCTGATTTATTAAAAATTTTCACCTTAAAATAATGTCAGTAATCACCTCCCAAAGTTTTTAAAAGTACTTTTAAATTACCCTGAAATGAGAAGTTTTCAGGCTTATTGGCCTTATTGCATTGATAAACTTAGAAAATCTATCGTTTAAGCATACGTTTCTTCGAAAAAAAATTTCGTATTAGAAAAAATCGTAGTTAGCACTTGAATAATATACATAGAATAAATGGAAAGTAAATTATTTAAAATGTAAGAAGTTTAGATTTCGAAGCTGAACGTTTTCCAACCGCTCTATTTTGTCAACTTAAAAAAATCGAATTTTTATGCTTTCGGTTTTCCCTTAAAACCTGCCATTTTTGAAAAATTTTAATAAAGTGAACAAACCACAATATCGCATCGTTTGATTGCAACCAAATGCACATTTTATAAAAGTGGTCGATCTTAGACGGATTATTGCCATACTTATTTCATATTACCGGTAGTAAATCAATGCACTGAAATGGCAAATAATTTTATTTTTAAGTAATTCTGTATGGAAAACCAAAGGGAGTTAAGTTTAAGAATCTGGGCAGTCATCAATATGCATTCCCTTGCACTAGAAACTAAAGCGTGGCTCAAACTCTAAAGTTTGCTTAATAAGAAAAAGCTTAATGAAAAAAGTAAATAAGAGATAGATTCAGAGAAAACTGGGTGACTTCACAGTAGAGTAGAGTATAGAATAGATTAACACAATAAACACAATAAACACAAATAAAAAACAAAATTTTGAGTTCAAATCAGCAATCTAACATTTCTAAATAGAAAATTTTCACTGGAGAGAATCTCTAATACTTTTTAAATAATTTGAACTTACCAGCTCTGTGCTCATGGTGTTACATCCTCTAAGTGGCAGTGTGTAAGTGATAGGAGCCTTCCGTTGTACCCATTCGCTAAGACAGTGCGTATTTTTCGATAATCCTCTCGGATAAATCATGCCATTGAATCTACCGGTTCTTGTGCCTATATTGACTACGATTTCGTCACTGTTGCAGTCCACACGAACATCTGCATCGTTAATTTCATTCGCGTATGATCCTTCATCTTCAACTATAAAAAAAAAACAAAAATTATGAAATTAAATTTCAAAATTCACAGGTACAAATGAAAATGTAAGAGACAGTTAAATCTGTAAGACTGATTCTGATAAAATTGTGAAAAATGTTGCAGACCATTGAAATGTTTATGAACAGGAGCAAAAGTAGATTCTAATCCAATAAACAATTGGACTGGTGAATTAAACAGAAACTGAAACCAATAGTTAGATAACGCTATATTTAAATAATAACAGCGAAAGTACAAGCAACATACTCGAATAACGTAATTTAGAGTGTTAGTAACAACAGGTTATATATTAATTGGTTCTCATGCTACAAATGCTGGTATTATACAGTAAGTAAGAAGTCTTGTAAGAATCTGTGGCAAAGGGCTGCGCTTTCGCGATTTTTTGCCTTTTGCGCTTGTGTTTTCAAATGTTCTCTAGTATTTGTCTGTGTTGGTAAGTCGAATAAAATTCAGTAAGTAGATTGCGAAATGTCGCAACTTCATCTTCGAGTTCCTTATGTATCGATCGTAAATAAAACGATGTGACGAAAGCTAAAATGGATTTTATTGAAAATTTCTGTGGGGGGTTGCTATGTAAGGTTCATATCAACTCTTGAATGTTTTGCTACAAAAAATTGCAGAACTTTTTAGTTGCCAGGTGGAATCAGTTGATTTTTCTTTACATTAAATATTAAGCCTTTTCCGATATTTTCGAGTTCTTGGTAAAATCTTGTAGACTGTTTGTTTCAATTCAGATTTAAGTACGTGTTCAAATCAAATCAACGTATGCTTTATTGCCACGGAAAAATTCGCAAATTTTATGGACAAAGCGAGTAAAAAAACAAAACAAAATATTCCAACATAAAATACGTACAGTACAGCCAACAATAGTGAAAAATTTTAAAAATATAATAAAACAGTACAAAATTATTATTTGACTTTTAGTTCAAAGGTTCAAACTGATAATAACGCCTGCGATACGTTCAAAATTGGTAAAAGGCAAGAAAACATTATTTTTTTGCACATAAACTATGAAATTTTCGGGATTTTCGAAAATCAAAATCAATCAAAATCTTGAGAAAGAATTAATCCATCTACTAAAAAAAATGATTGCAGCTATCACATAAAAAGTTCTGGAATTTTTTTCTGAAGATACTCAAGAATTTAACATTTTCCTATGGCGGATGAGCGCGACAGCTTCCACAAAATATGGTAACATTCTCCGGATATCGTAACAAACACAAATATTTTTACTGTTAAAGAAGATAACTCAAAAAGTAATTATTTTGCTAAACAAAATCTTGACTTCTAAAATTGATCAGGAATTTCCTTTAAAGCTTGTAACTGGAGGAATAAATATTCATAATATTCCAAAATATTGATAGATGGCATGTTTCTGTACAAAAACGCATTTTTCTGTACAAAAGCGATCTTTTCATGAACCTAATGATGAAAAATCCATCCAACTTTCGGTCAAATTTAACGAATTTCTATAATAAGAAGCTTGAAAGGTGTGATTTAAATAAAACAAAGTTATAAGTTTCACTGTTCTTTATTTGACTTGAAAAAAAAATCAAAAGCAAAGCAACAAATAAAACACTCTTTGTCTATGGCCACTCTCTTCTTTCGCCTAAACTGACGTCTTCTAAAGTCTAAACCTAACGGATTCTGCTCTTATTTGGCTACTTTTAAATATATTTGGTTGAATAAAACGCAATTATATACAGGTTCTTTTGATTGTGGTTTATACGCAACTGGCAATCCTCGTAAGTGAACGAACCGGTCGCAACTGCACCCAAATGAGTACCACTAAAAGGCAATAGCCTATTCTTCAGGAATTCTTACAGGAAGTACTACCAACTAGGATTACTAATAATACCTGACTGATATTTAAATTAATTGGAATTACTGGTAACGGAAGAGCCATTTGTCACGGTTGAGAATAACAGACATAAAATTTGGACAACATTTTTATTTGAATAACTTTAAACATGTTTGTATTAAATAAATATGGGACAAAGATGGCCTTCCAGTTGGTCAAACCTTATCTATCTCCCATTGTCTCTCTACTTGACTAGTTCGAAGAAGACAACAACGGAGGTTTTAAAAACCTGCTTCAAACAATGGAAAATTCACAGTTTATTCGGGATTTATTTAGGCTTAAAGGCCATATACTGGTAAAAAGCACTACAATATAGTGAAAACTTTCAAAGTAAAAACGTTGAGTCGATGAATTGCTATAAAGTAACGATAAATAAAGTCAGATTGGAATTTTCAATTCCAGATAGTGATGAAAATTATCATTGATCATCAAAGGAATGATGGAAGATTTTTTCGTTACCACAAGATCAGATCCTGTGGCAAGATGTAATGAGGAAATGTTCACATTTCACGGTCTTCCATCAACTGGAGATAGATTAAATTGGAGCAAGATAACTGTTGTGTATCGCATAATTAGTGCAAAAAATAAAACCCTTATCTTAATGTTATCTTGTTATCTAATAACAAAGTTACCAATGTGCTGCAATTTAGTTAGAAAATTATTTATTTGCTAAATGTATTCAAAGCAACAAAAGACCTCTAAAAATCCAATTACTTAACGTTGTTTTTGGTGCCGATCATTGTAACAGTATATTTTTAATATTCCAAATTCGTTCGGTGTGTGTCTATGCACATAATAAGTTAGGCGTGTCCCATAATTGGTTCTAACATTATGAAATATAGCTGAAAGGCCATCGTTACTGTTGGCTTTGAATCGATGGATTTGGTAATTTTTCTTCTTCAATTTTGCAAGGGTTTTCACTTGGTTTCTACTTCTGATAAAATGCGTCTCCACTTTTAGATTTTCGTGAATTTTCGTCTTTTTGTCGATTGCACCATTTGAACATTTACCATTTACACACCAAAAAACTTTCAATACTCATTAACGTGTCAGAACTGATATTTCCGAACAATTTAAGCATGAAGTTTAAATTCCAATGGGTGGCCAATTACTGGCTGGTTTGATCGTAAACATTATGAAACACTTTGAAATAATTAGACCGACGAATGTAATCGACATCTAGAGATCAATGATTAGGAATAAAAAGTGTTCAAAAATTAGCTACGTTTTAACGTAAGTATTGTTTGTTTTGATGTTATTTACGGTTTGAGCAAGAAGAATGCTCTTCTCATGGTTTGCACAGAGGCGATGACCCCTTTTCACTTTCTTTTGTATGTTACAAGCGACTAGAAGTCTGTAGTTGATGTAGAGTACGTGCTCATAGATCGGTGGGAAAAATTTTTAAAACGGATATACGAAATGTTTTCAAGTAATTGGAAAAAAACGCGGATAAATTATGTTTATGAATTCATTGACTTTGGCTGAAATAGGGCGGATATCTGGAAATCAGACGGATTTAGGTAACAAATTTTAAATTAGGGTTATAATTAGTTTAATCGTTCCTCCCTCTGGAAAGAACTCTTTAACTTATCGATAATGTTCTACCATGAAAGTCAAATCAACAAGTAAAAATGTCGTTTTTTTCAAAATTTTGTGGTTTTAGGACCGATATATTAAAGAAACCATAACGACAAATCCAATTAAATGTTCAAATAGTTCACCATTACTTCCTCACAATAAGCGAATCCAATTTCAAATTATCGTAACACTTTACTTAACAATTCTGGCCGAATTTACTATTCTTTTTCAGCTCCAATTCTATTTCTCAAATCGTCGATATCTTTTGCTTTATCATTGAGTTTCGGATACAAAAAATCGCTGGAGTTAGGTTTGGAGAATTAACTGGCCATTCGGGAAAAAAAAACTTCACACAACGCTTCTAAATCGCTGAAAAGTCTAGCTATGTCTATAAATGTATCCAATATGCATATACAGGGTGTTTGAGTTCAGACTAGGGCAGATATCGCCAGCTAAAAATGAAAACTGTGCAAAAACCGCAAAAATGAGCCGTTTTCTTCGATTAGCTCGAGTAAAAAGGGTCTATTTTTGAGTGGACAGTTGGACAGAGTGAAACTTATGCCGTTTTAGCAATTTGACTTTTTTCGAAAAATATTTTCACTATTTTTCAGAAAAAAATTCCGCTAAATTTTGACCATCATTTTCGGCTATGTAGCATAAGAAAGACCTACCATCTCTATTCCCGGACTCCTTGAATTCCTTTCTTTTCGCCATGAAACCGGTATATAATTTGAAACTGTTTGAAAGATTTGAGTTTTTTCGAAAAAATTCGTCAGCACTTTCACTATTTTTCTTCCAAAAATCAATTTTTTTCGTGTAGGATTTTTAAAGTTTAATTGATAGTTTTGGACCCAACAAGCTCCCTAAAATGGATATAATGGGTGTTTGAGTCCAAAATAGCACAGATAACGTCGGGTAGAAATGCAAACCGTTTAAAAACCGCTAAATTTTGACCATAATTTTCGGCTGTTTAGGCTAAAAAAGCTGTACCATGTCTATTCCCGAAATCGTTAAATTCCTTCCTTTTTGCAATGAAACCGGTATATAATTTGACTGTTTGAGAGATTTGAGTTTGTTTCAAAGAAATTCGTAAACATTTTTAATATTTTGTTCCAAAAATAATTTTTTTTAAGTTTAATGGATAGTTTTTGACCCAACAACCTTTCTAAAATGCACATAACAAGTGTTTGGGTCCAAAATAGGGCAAAACAGCTAATCATTTTTGGCTATTTAGGATCATAAAGCTCTGTCTATGCTCTGTCTTTGAGCATGTCTATTCCTAAGGTCCTTTAATTCCTCATTTTTTGCAATAAAACCGGTTTATAATATTTTGAGGCCGCTTGAGCATTTTGAGTTTTTCCATATGGTTTTTTTTCAATTCAATTGACAGTTTGCAACCTAAGAAACTCCCTAAGATGCATATATAGGGTGTTCAAGTTCAGACTATCAGTTTCATATAATTTTATAATATTTATTTTATGTTTTCCTGAATAAATCATTCCAGCAAGATTTGTTCGTTTGATTGATTGCTATTTAAATAAAACAATACTTACGCAACTGTGAAGGCAAATTGGCAGACTTTGCAGAGGAGACCTGGAAAATACGACAATTTATTACCAAATGCAGCTAAAGCAGTAATATCAACCATCACGTAGGTAGGTTAATGGGCAAAATGTTAAATAAAGACATTTATGGTAATTTTTAAGACAATAAAAACTAGCACTTGATCTGGCGTTTACAGTAGATATAAATTACACGTTTTACCATTGATACAAAAAGCGGATATGATTGCGCAAACATATTACTTAACGTTGCTTTACACTATACATATAAGGCTATTTTATTGGCCCTGATTGAATATTTTTTGTCATTTATTTTATATTTTCAACACAGTACAATGTCCTCAAAACTGGGCCAAAGACAAAAATATACACACAAAAGTACACAATTTCAGAGAATTTCAACTAATAGCTGCATACTTCATTTTTTTCCTCAAAATTCGTCGCAGATACGAAGAGAACACGAAAGTCATTAATAAAGCTCCCAAGTTGAAGGGGTAATTTAATGTTGGAACGGAAACGCTTATTGACGCGTATAAAAAAGTTTTGGGCAAAATCATGGTTCATCAAACTAGCCAAATTGGCTGAAACAATAAATGAATGAAGAACCAATCAAAACGATCCAGCATACAAAAGCTCAGCCCACATTTTGTGAATTTACCGTACTCAAGGTAGTCAGGACTCGTTACGTCAGAAATTAAGCGTCTGTAGAATAACATGGGACTGACCAAGGTTGTCTCCATATTAGCGAGATTTTAAGCGAAAATACATGTGAAGGAAACAATGGCTTTGGTTGTTTATCTCCTCACGGAACGACCCACGAAAAATCCGAATTGTAATTGTGGCCATTCGTCTTCGCTGTGTGAAATGGATTTTGCTAAACCTCTTAAAACTGTTACTCAAGTTTGTGCGATGACCTCTGCCTGTCCATTAATGGACACCTTAACTCTTACTTTTCGAAGTTATRAAACGGTTCGTCATTTCAATGTGGGATTGATTTTGGTTACTGATTTTGAAAGTAAAACTCACCTTCTTAGGTGTATATTGTAGAAAGTAAATGTGTAAGCATAARGAAAATTATTTGTAGCCAAAAKCAAATRAGCCAGTTTTTATTGRAAATTTTGRCTTTTTAAAAAAGRTTTCACAAAAATCTTTGRMAGRAACTAAGTTGAATGTTTTCYCRAAAAAAATGTAATTAAATCATYTGATACTCTGGTGTACGAAAAATAAATCGTCTYAACTAGCACGGAGTTTTCCAAATAACTAAACTTAGATCGGCTTTAGAGGCCATTCCTTGAAACTGGTGAGTTTTTCGGGTTTTTAGGCCGTCGCAAAATRGAACTAAGATTGTTTTATGAAGAATCATTTTTTATTTGTRTATTAAGAAGTACTTACCAGAAYCAACACGAATAAAACTAGTGGAAACGTTGTTAATGATAACGCTTTAGGCAGGAGGCGATTCAGTCTTACGATACCCTRAAAATAGAGATTTTCAATTAATTCATACAATTAATCCATAGGAAAATACATAAAAAAGCAAACAACCRATCTAAGAGAAACTAAGTCAAATAACAGTAATTTAACAGAAAATTAACATTATTTGGTCAATGTTCGACCAAATCAATATTTCTCGCTGCGGTAAAAGCAGTTATTTGGGTATAAAGAAGTCACCCATGATTTTTACGCACTTACTTTATTACAACTATTTGCTACTCTTTAATAACTTCGGATTAATGATTTCTTAAGCTTTCCATCCGAACTATGCAAGAAATCATGCAGGTCTAATTTAGATGTAATCATTTTACAAATTTTTCCATGTTGTATTGCATGCAAGTTATTCAGGTCTAGAACTATCCTAGAATAATAAACCTTCCAAGTTTTATGTTCTAGAACAGTTCGGAACCCGATTAAATTCTTTGCTGGCCATTTAACATTTGGCTTCCGCAATATTTCACTCTCAGTTGCCAAACGATCGAATTACAAAGAAACTGCAGTAAAAAACGCAAAGTCTATGTCCATATGAAGAAATCATCTTCAATTTAGTAAGAAATCTAGTTATCTTCTTTGGATTAATTAAGAGTTACACTATAAAAAACCAAGCATTCCAACTGAATTATTGGTACTTTTTCTCATTTAGCAGCGTCCATAAACTTGGACAATTAAAAGGTCCACATCGATTTCCCTCAGGGCAATTAACAATATAAAATTTACTTCCTACCATCGAGTGTATTAAGTCCGCCCTATAGGCAAAGAAAAAGAAAGTGTTCGCGCGTTCTAAATCAACTGGGTCAGGCCAAACCACAGCCTTGATGAAAGCAAAAGAAGCAGACAACAATTGCGTTTTATTGCATAATTGAAGAACATTGTCAAAAACGATGAAATGATTGTCGTTTACTTCTGGAGATGGTGATTGGTTTTTTTGGACGATATGTGRTTGAGGATCAATGGGAAAATTGAAATTRTTCCGATTGACAAGCGTGAAACAATGAATATTGTTAGGACAAAACAATTCGTATTATCAGTGAACTTATAGAATGCTRTTGTAATAAGACGCAATTAATCTGGAGTTGTATTTWGGGAACTTACGCAGGCAAATATACAGGGTGATTCAGGGAAAAATTGAATTAAAAAAAGCCAAAAAATATTTCAAAACCGACGAATAATTATAAGCAAATAGCATATAAAATAAAGTACACTTTTATTAGAAATTTTTATTTGAAGAATAAATTCGTTTTTTATGATAATTTTCACACAATTCATTTAATTTACATAGATTGCGTACACATCATCCTGAAGCATAATGCTTTACGTACTTTTTTAGTTCAACATCACTTGCGCATTAGCTGAAGGAGCCCCTTCCTTGTTTGCTCCTACCTGTAACGCCCCTAAATATTTTAAAACAATAAAGACATTTTTTAGATTCCTGATCATTTCTAAGAAAAAAACTGCTCTTGTGAAACTTTGGTTTGGGCCTTCATTTCTGAAATTTTCAAACAAAAACTAGCTCAGATCAAGCCAGCTCGCGCTACAAAATCAAGTTTTAGCTCGCAATAAAAATTAAACAATGTACACTAAAAATGTTTAATGACATGCGAATCTTAAGGGCTTTTCACGTTCAACTAGTACAAAATCTTCTTTCCGGTAAACGACTTTTTTTCAAACCTTGACTCTCTCTGTTAGGAAACCTCTGGGAGCAAAGTTATTTATGAAAATCTACTTTTTTTTTCTTTTTTTTTTACCTACTAAAGCAAGTTTGATTTTAACTGACGTTTCGCAAGCACGCGTGACCTACATCTTCAGAAGTGTTTTAGTACAGAAGCTTACACAGTTTTTCCAGTTTTGATGGAAAATAATTTCTTTTAGTAAACTGAGCTTCGTTCGTAAATGAAATGCACTTAAGCAATGGTGTGTTTTCAATAAATTCATTGACAAACTTGAACTCTTTAAAGAATAGTCTGCTTCTTCGACAAAATAGAATAGAATTTAGAATTCTTGGATGTTTAAGTCAAGTGGTCATGCAGGCCAAGCAACCTTCTCTCCTAAGCCTTCGAGGCTGTCTGTGCGTGTGTTTCTTTTTAATTGAAACTATCTCTTTAGGAGATGAAAGAAGATAATGAACACATTGTTAATTCGCCAATTAATCATTGTTAATTGTGTAGGAAGAAGCTACTTCCTTCCTTAGACTGAGGCGCAATAAAATTGAATAATTTTTCATTTACACATTGAAATGATGGATATGAACAAAAAAACGGATACAACTTTTACACTGGATCTGAACTGAAACTGTCCATTCAAGCTACTTATTTTCCCTTTATATAAATAATATAGTTCTCTAGTCTATATACAATATTGAGTGATACACAGTGTACAATTATGCCCATATTTAAGGAATACGAAATTTAGTATGTGTTTGTTTTTAACATGCGAAGAGAGATCTGTGGGAAAAATGGCTCTCGCTTTTTTTTCAAACAATGAAATAAGCGTGTTGAGAAGTTTTGCTAATTGTAGGAAATCGCATTTGTGATTGTGTCATCATGCCATCCTACTATGAATATGAAGCGACTTGCTTAGTTTCAATCAAAAAAACCAGATTATAAATAATATGTTAAGTATATTAGATACTCAAATAGAAAACATTTTAATTTATGTGATAGTATCTTCCAGGGTTTGCAAAAAGGGTTTACTTCTCATCAATTTCTAATAAAATTTTGTTAAAAAACTATGCAAATTATGGGTATTTTGCCTTCAATCAAAAAAAATGTACAGAAGTGTATGATTTTAATAATTTTTTTGTTATTAAGCGACGGATGCTTAGGGTGAGCCACTAATGCACATCAATCGCTGATCTCCTGCTTTAAAAATTTCAATTTATGGATTTGAAACTCTTGAGATTATGCTCTTAAGCAGTAAAATACGTTTCTCTCTAGATTTTTGTTCTTGTTTTAATTTAATTTTGCTTCTTTGAAAATATACTGACTGTTTCTGAACTGAATTGGTTTGGTTTATCAATATATTGAAACGATTTAATTTTTCCTAAAATCGTATAAAATGTCGCATATTTTCTTAAGATCATTTTACCTACAGATAATGCAAATTGCTGATTTATTTACTGCCTAATGGCAAAGCAGCCAAATATGGCACAAACATATATTTTAAGTAGGTAAATTCCTTGTTTCACTTATGAGAAAAGACCCCAAGAGGTTTAATGCGCGCGTTTTGGAAAAAACAGTTTTACGATATCAGCTCTAAAAAATGCAGTTGTAATTTACTGAATAAATGTAAATTTCCCATTTTATAGTGCAAATATTTTGAATATTCGTCTTGTGGTAAACTTAATAAGGTATCAGCAACATATTAACGTTTTTATTTCTAATGAAAGAGCTCAATTAGGTTTAATTATTCCAGTTTTTTAAATTCTTGCTCATTTCTTATCATATTTTACTTTCTCTCAACGATTAGTAAAAACTGTTTATCAAAAGTGTTCCACTGCTATTGCTTGAAACTGATGAGTTTATTTCTGACGTTTTGCAAACGCGAGTGTCCTGCATCTTCAGGGCTGTTTCCCTTGAACGTGTGTGTAAGCTACCTAAATCGAGTAGTTTTTTGTACACTCATGCAAAAAAATCTACTCTATTTCTAATAAAATATATAAAATTTAATTTTGGAGAATTTCAAATTATCCGGCGTATGCTGTCGAGCAAAACACCCCTGAAGATGGAGGCCACTCGTGTATCGAAACAGCAGGAAGAAAGTTGTTCCCAAGAAGCGAAAACTCACCAGTTTGAACTAGGTTTGGTATAAAATATAAAATTTATTGAGGAGAAATGGTTAAAGATGAATTAATGTAAATTTCAATCTTGAGTTCGGGAAAAAGTGCCTTTAAATGAGATATATGAATATTTCAATTGCATTTTTAAACAATATTCCTAGGTTTCAGTAATTTATTTCGATCACAATTTATTTATTTTTCTTAAGTTTTCTTTCTTTCATCCTCAGTTTGTCTGAAACAAGCTATTGTTGAAATATTTTGTTTTTGTTGTGTTTTAGACAAACTGAAGATGGTGGAAAAACACCTAAACGTATTTTAAGAAAAATAAGAGAAATTAATAAATTGTGATCGAAATATGTAAATGACTGAAACCCAGGAATATTGTTTATATTAAAATTAGAAATACAGCCACGAAAACTTACATGATGTTTAAACAATTTTTGAACTAAGTGAGAAAAAGTGCAAAAATACAGCGACTCTCCCGTTTAAAAGAGCGAAACTCCTTAAAACCATATTTTGAATAAATAAAATAGTCGCAAAATGATTTCAAATCATATTTGATATGTAAAATTGTATTACATATTTCTCAGAAATTTAAAAATAAAATATACTACAGTGACTCATTAAAAAAAATGTATTTCGTATATTTTTCTACAATCAATATTTTAGGTGTTATGAACTTGAGGTGTAACTTCCTGTACAAAGAGACATTTTTAGCCGTTTTATATACAAAGAAAGAGAAACATCGACAAATGCTAGTTCGGAGAAATAATGCCACTTTTTGCGTTTTACTTCTGATCTGCAATTCCACCATCAAATTTTTCTTGGGCGGTTGCAATTTGTTTAAATCCAATATTGTATTAGACTTGAAGCAATGCAAAAAAGAGGTTTATCACCAAAAAAAATCGTAAATTTGCACTGATTTACTGCTAATAATTTAATTCCCGTAAATTTACGTAAACCTACTGCAAAATTCGACACAATTTGTGGACCCAATTTAGACCACACTGTATATAAATTGTAATTATCAATCTATTACCTACTTGCGCTCGCTGATAATTTTGCATTAATTAAGTTAAATACATGTTAATTAATAAAGCGCATTTAACGAGTAGTAACTCAGTGATAACTCACCTTCATTGTAAAATAAATACCCTAAGTATATCCTTAAATGAGACGATATTTCACTTTAAAACAAATAATAATATCACAGCAGGTAGGTGCATTCACTCGCACCGAACAAACATACGCACGGGTTGAAATTCTCGAAAAAATCCCGGTATCTTCGGATAATTTGTAAACCAGTTGTTCATATTAACCGAAAAAAAATTGACGTTAATTTTGGATAATTTTCCTATCCTGGTAATGGGTTTGCGCGGACATTACATGCGACTCGGAATGGGTATTCAAAAAAAATCGAAAGGAAGTGCTCCAACCCGCCACAGCCGACTTCTTGTTCGTTCGTTACTTCGACTGTTTGCCTTTGGTTTTGGTCGATTACCGTGTATCATTGGTCGAGGTTGAAAGCAAAAGCTGCGCCAACCATGGTTTWMATGGGTTGCACATGGTTGCAAAGACTTCTACCATTTCCCAGAGACCCATTAAAGCTAGGCMTMAGATCGGAATTTGCTGATCTTCAAAKGATTTTTTAAGGTGGYTTTTATTTAAGCCTCTTTAATTTAAATATTYCTCAGGCTTGGRAATCAMACAGATARTMGACGGAYTTTCARTTRAAAGTTAATGTTTTAAAATTAACCCCTTTTTTTGTTMGMTGAAGACRAATTTGAACTATTAGTTAWCAAAAACAGTTTTGCMGCGSGTTTAAATTAGGCAYTGCATCCGTTGACCGCCCGCAATAAACGTTYATTTGTGGCTGGAAAATAAATTTAAAGGAAACTATAGGAAAAAGCTGAGAAMAATGCCKTTAGATCKAAAACCATTTGATTTGGTCGACYTAGCAAAAAAAAATKATTTGAAAATGGTAAACTGCCAAGYGCACTTTTGSCTTTTTACAAAAATTACGGTATAAATCAGRCAAAAGTTGAGTAGARAATTTCTCAAGCAATCAGTCCAAACATTTAAGATTTTGAAAGAATTTCAGAAAAAAATGGTTTCAGAAAGTGTACTAATTTAAAAATTATTTAAAATGTGCTTTTAATTGTGATATTTTCAACATTTTATAAACGCTGTTACGAGTAGGTTCTCAAAGGAAAATATAAATATTTTCAGCTTCATTAAAAAGTTTCATTATTATGTATCAACTTCTTCGGAKAAAATGCCTGAAAATGCACAAAAAAATCTTCCRGGAACGATTGCTTGTAKCACCGTCTATAAAATAGTATTTGMAGCAACGAAATARAAAAGCCACTAACTACGAAAAATGCAAACTTAAAAATCTGAGAATTTTAGRAAGCAAAGCAGAACGACTTACAGATGATACTGACTAAAAAGCCARTATCATCCTGTATATTTCTGTGTATACAGTAATAGATAACGAAACCGTTAATTTATTAATACACTTTATAAGATATTTTMTTGCAAAAAGTTGTTGTTTATTTTTCGTTTATTTGAGTTTGAAAATTTTTATGCTTTGCCTTCAGTTACTAAACAAAGTTTCCACTTAAGCATTTTTACACGACTTTTTGTCAAGCGTTTTGTCTGCAACAGTCATTCTCATTAGAGACTGTTCCTGCGGTAGAAGAAGGTTTCATCAGAGATTAGTAGGTCTCACCAGAGATTCACTACTAATCTCTGGTTTCACTAGATCGCTTATGCAAAGACGCAAAAACCACAAAATTCTGCAAAAACTAGCAAGATTTAAAATGAATCAACACATGCATTTCTTCTGAACTTGAACTATTGCTGGCAACGATGGCTGATTCTAGTGGGTGTTCCATTCTTAACTATAGGAATGACGTGATTGAAGCGGACCTATTAGCAAACTCGAGTAGGTGCCAAAATGATTATATAAAGCTGTTAACTTTTACTCAGTGTCTGTTTRCKGGAAAAACACCTCTTTCTAGGTTGCTTCAATACATAAAAGGCAACTTTAAAAGCCGCCTTTTATCAATAACTCCGCTTATCAATTTTTAGAAAAAAGGTGAAGAATTCGGTTTATGAGGAGAATTTTTATTAAAATGTTTCTATACTCAGTAGATTGTTTAATTTGCTACATAACTGCAGTACAGAAAATGTAACAAATGTGAAACTATTCAAGAAACAAAGAGTGCGGGATAAAATTTGCAGAAGGAGTTTTTTTGGAGAGAGATGAGATAATATTTTTATGAAAAAAAGTTTAT